ATAATTTCGGAATATTTTTAGGCTCTGCTGCAGAACGAGGTGCCGGATGAGGCTCTGCTGCAGAACGAGGTGCAGGATGAGGCTCTGCTGCAGAACGAGGTGCAGGATGAGGCTCTGCTGCAGAACGAGGTGCAGGATGAGGCTCTGCTGGAGAATACTGAGCTTTCTGGTAATGATAATGAAGGAATAAATCCTCGTTGCTCTGCTCTGATTGGGGGTTACAGCCGCCTCCTCCTGTATGCTTCTTCCATGTCCTGGACCAGCATTTTGGCAACTCAGGATAACGCCCCGGACTGGAAGCAGACGGTCACAGTCCCCTCAGCTTTATGCAGACTTCTAGTGTTAGTAATTACAGACAGAACCCCAAAGAACCGAACTCCACTCCACACTTCCTGAGCCCCAACCCTGACATCTGTACATACGTGAACCACAAAAATACTTCCACAACCCCAACCACAGCCGCGGAGGGTCACTTCTACACACTGCACTAAACTGCGCCGTCCAATCATAGCCTGGCATCTAATCATAGCCTGGTGTCCAATCATAGCCTGGTATCCAATCATAGCCTGGTATCTAATCATAGCCTGGTATCCAATCATAGCCTGGCGTCCAATCATAGCCAGGCGTCCAATCATAGCCAGGCGTCCAATCATAGCCTGGCGTCCAATCATAGCCTGGTATCCAATCATAGCCTGGTATCCAATCATAGCCTGGTATCCAATCATAGCCTGGCGTCCAATCATAGCCTGGTATCCAATCATAGCCTGGTATCCAATCATAGCCTGGCATCCAATTATAGCCTGACGTCCAATCACAGCCTTGCTTTCCATATCCAGCATTTTCTGATTGGTCAGTCAGGTTCGGGGAGGAAACCTTCACATATTGTATGAAATACACTCACAGGGGTGAATCATTAACCCGCCGGCTGACGTCACAATTCTTGGGGTTCAAGGACTCAGATGCGGAGGGAGATGCGGGGTTCAGGGGGAGCACAATGATTATATCCATGAGGCAAGATTCTGGACATCCCGCGTAGTGCTAGCTGAACTACAGATCCCAGCATTCCTCGCCAACCCCAGACACACATCTTCCCCCGCACTTCCTTCTCAGGTCACAATAAAGCTAAAAAAATGTATCAAAACCGACATAGAAAATTGTAATATATTCAGAGAACTTTCACCGAACTTTCACATCAGCTACAAAACGTTCCCGAGGCCTCAAAACAAAAAGCGTCTCATACAGTCATCCGCAGCCTGTCCCCGGCCAGCATGCTGCATGCACTATGTTTTACAGATTGCACTGGACCGGAACGCATTTGGGTGCCGGTGATCGCACCGCGTGTTGGGGGCGTGGCTGCGGTGCCATTGAGTTCACTGGACTGCCACCCCCCTCCCGCCCCAAAACAAAGTGAGCCGGCCACGTTGCGTTCCAGTAGCGGAGGGCTACGGTAGTCTGGTGTATCTGGATGGAGGGAGGACGGTGGTGTATCTGGATGAGGGAGGACGGTGGATGTGGTGTATCTGGATGGAGGGAGGACGGTGGATGTGGTGTATCTGGATGGAGGGAGGACGGTGGTGTATCTGGATGGAGGGAGGACGGTGGTGTATCTGGATGGAGGGAGGACAGTGGATGTGGTGTATCTGGATGGAAGGAGGACGGTGGATGTGGTGTATCTGGATGGAGGGAGGACGGTGGTGTAACTGGATGGAGGGAGGACGGTGGATGTGGTGTATCTGGATGGAGGGAGGACGGTGGATGTGGTGTATCTGGATGGAGGG